GTCCTGCTGCTCCCGCTGGCCGGGCCCGAGGAGCTCCCCGAGGAGGAGATGGAGCGTGAGTGCCGATCCACAGGGATCCACGGGGATCCACAGGGATCCACGGGGATCCAGAGAGATCCACAGGGATCCACGGGGATCCAGAGGGTTCCAGAGGGTTCCAGAGGGATCCAGAGGGATCCAGAGGGTTCCACAGGGATCCACGGGGTTCCAGAGGGATCCAGAGGGTTCCACGGGGATCCAGAGGGTTCCTGAGGGTTCCAGAGGGATCCAGAGGGATCCACAGGGATCCAGAGGGATCCAGAGGGATCCACAGGGTTCCACAGGGATCCAGAGGGATCCACGGGGATCCAGAGAGATCCAGAGGGTTCCAGAGGGATCCACGGGGATCCACAGGGATCCAGAGGGATCCAGAGGGATCCACAGGGATCCAGAGGCTTCCACAGGGATCCAGAGGGATCCACAGGGTTCTAGAGGGTTCCAGAGGGATCCACGGGGATCCAGAGGGTTCCACAGGGATCCACAGGGATCCAGAGGGTTCCAGAGGGATCCACAGGGATCCAGAGGGTTCCACAGGGATCCAGAGGGTTCCAGAGGGATCCAGAGGGTTCCAGAGGGATCCAGAGGGTTCCACAGGGATCCAGAGGGTTCCAGATGGATCCAGAGGGACCCAGAAGGATCCAGAGGTATCTACGGGGATCCAGAGGGTTCCAGGGGGATCCAGAGGGTTCCAGAAGGATCCACAGGGTTCCAGAGAGATCCAGAGGGTTCCACAGGGATCCAGAGAGATCCAGAGGGATCCACAGGGATCCAGAGGGTTCCAGAGGGATCCACAGGGTTCCACAGGGTTCCACAGGGATCCAGAGGGATCCAGAGGGATCCAGAGGGTTCCACAGGGTTCCACAGGGATCCAGAGGGATCCACGGGGATCCAGAGAGATCCAGAGGGATCCAGAGGGTTCCACAGGGATACAGAGGGATCCAGAGGGACCCAGATGGATCCAGAGGGATCTACGGGGATCCAGAGGGTTCCAGGGGGATCCACAGGGTTCCAGAAGGATCCACAGGGATCCAGGGGGATCCAGAGGGATCCACAGGGTTCCAGAGGGATCCAGAGGGATCCAGAGGGATCCACGGGGATCCAGAGGCATCCACAGGGATCCAGAGAGATCCAGAGGGATCCACAGGGATCCAGAGGGTTCCACAGGGTTCCACAGGGATCCAGAGAGATCCAGAGGGATCCACAGGGTTCCAGGGGGATCCACAGGGATCCAGAGGGATCCATAGGGATCCAGAGGGTTCCAGAGGGATCCACAGGGTTCCAGAGGGTTCCACAGGGTTCCAGAGGGTTCCAGAGGGATCCACAGGGTTCCACAGGGTTCCACAGGGTTCCAGAGAGATCCACAGGGTTCCAGAGGGATCCACAGGGATCCACAGGGATCCAGAGGGTTCCACGGGGATCCAGAGAGATCCAGAGGGATCCACAGGGTTCCACAGGGTTCCAGAGAGATCCACAGGGATCCAGAGAGATCCACAGGGATCCAGAGAGATCCACAGGGATCCACAGGGATCCAGAGGGTTCCACAGGGTTCCACAGGGATCCAGAGAGATCCAGAGGGATCCACAGGGATCCAGAGGGTTCCACGGGGATCCAGAGAGATCCAGAGGGATCCACAGGGTTCCAGAGGATCCACAGGGGAGTCCAGAGGCTTGCCCACAGGACTGGCACAGGGGTCCAGGGGGATCCAGAGGGATCCACAGGGATCCAGAGGGTTCCACAGGGATCCAGAGGGTTCCAGAGGGATCCACAGGGATCCAGAGGGTTCCAGAGGGATCCACAGGGATCCAGAGGGTTCTAGAGGGATCCACAGGGATCCAGAGGGATCCAGAGGGTTCCACGGGGATCCAGAGAGATCCAGAGGATCCAGAGGGTTCCAGAGAGATCCAGAGGGATCCAGAGGGTTCCACAGGGATCCAGAGGGATCCACAGGGATCCAGAGGGTTCCGGAGGGATCCACGGGGTTCCAGAGAGATCCAGAGGGTTCCAGAGGGATCCAGAGGGTTCCAGAGGGATCCAGAGGGTTCCAGAGGGTTCCACAGGAATCCACAGGGTTCCAGAGGGTTCCACAGGAATCCACAGGGTTCCAGAGGGATCCAAAGGGTTCCAGAGAGATCCAGAGGGTTCCACAGGGATCCACAGGGATCCAGAGGGATCCAGAGGGTTCCAGAGGGATCCACAGGGTTCCAGAGGGTTCCAGAGGGATAGAGAGGGTTCCAGAGGGTTCCAGAGGGATCCACAGGGTTCCAGAGGGTTCCAGAGGGATCCACAGGGTTCCAGAGGGTTCCAGAGGGACCCAGAAGGATCCAGAGGGATTCACAGGGATCCAGAGGGTTCCAGGGGGATAGAGAGGGATCCAGAGGGATCCACAGGGTTCCACAGCGATCCAGAGGGATCCACGGGGATCTAGAGGGTTCCAGAGGGTTCCAGAGGGATCCAGAGGGTTCCAGAGGGATCCACAGGGTTCCAGAGGGTTCCACAGGGATCCAGAGGGTTCCAGAGGGATCCACAGGGTTCCAGAGGGTTCCAGAGGGATCCAGAGGGATCCAGAGCGTTCCAGAGGGATCCACAGGGATCCAGAGGGATTCAGAGGGATCCACAGGGATCCAGAGGGTTCCACAGGGATCCAAAGGGTTTCAGAGGGATCCACAGGGTTCCAGAGGGATCCAGAGGGATCCACAGGGATACAGAGGGATACAGAGGGATCCAGAGGGTTCCAGAGGGTTCCAGAGGGATCCACAGGGATCCAGAGGGATCCAGAGGGGCAGGTCCTGTCCCAGCACCCCGAGCTCCTCCAGGGGCTCCTTCTGGGGGGTGAGGGAAGGGCTGGATGGGACGGCCTGGAGCTCACAGAGCCCGGGGTGGTGTGTCCCGTGGGGTGTTCCTGGGAAAGGGTTGGACAGGGATGCTCTGGGATGGGGGAGGAACGGGCTGGAGGGCCTGGAGAGTGGTGGGGATG